CGAATCAACAACAAGATGGCGGCGCCGGGAAGGTGGGCATTCTGCCGTCATAGCAACCGTGGCGCCCAAGGTCCACCTCCAAGGAAGCGAAACCAATCGCGGGTTGATCCATTACAAGCTTTCTATTGGTTCTCATTTTTATTGGATTACGTATCCGTCACTTCTTCCAAATTCTCTGCGCCTTCTTCGACTAGAACCCCGCCTCCGGTTTTCCAACGCACGCTGCGCAAATGTGACGAAACCAACCTTTGGCGGGGGCCATCTCCTATTGGCTAAGGAGGAGTGACTCACCAACCAATCACAAAAGCCTTTCGCTGCTCTTCTGTATGGCCCTCTTGAGGCTGCTCTTTTAACGATTGACCTCTGAGCCTTCCTAGGAAAGTGAATCTTAAGCTAACTTTCCGCTGCTTAGCCTCTGAACTCTGGCATGACGTATTTTTCATGCTATCTTATCTCTCAGGAGGCCTTCTAAATGTTTTGCAAACTCCAGTGTTATCCTGGCTGCCCTCTGACTAAGATTGTCTTCAATTTTACTTTAAAAAAAAAAAAAAAAGTTTATAGCTTTAAAGCGTTTGCAATAAATAATGACTGAATATATGTACTAACACTACCAGATTTACTAACACAAATTCATCTGGCCTTTGCAAAAACAAAGTATTTTCTAAATTTCTTTGTTGCCAACTTGTAATTGTCCTTTGGCAAATCATCCAGGTCAAATGGAACCCATTACACACTGCCCCAACCCACCAGATAATTTATATCTTCACCAAATAAAACATATTTAATCAAATTTCAATTCAAACCTGCAGCAACAAGAGGTGCAGGTAAATGATACAGTTGCTCATAGTTGTACATATATTTCACACCTACTGATATTTTTTTGTTTGAAAACCTCAGCTACTAAAATCATTAAGTTTTCTTGGCCAGTATTAAAGGAAGAGGAATTTGGAACCGTTTTAATTATTGAGGACAATATGTTTAATATTGTTCATTACATCTGACCAGATTTTTTAAAAGTAGGTCACAGCAGGAAAATAAACCCTCAGCTATGACAATAATTCAAGGTATCACAATGAAACATAATTCATGTAGGCTTTCTGCTAGTTTTCTAAGCAAGCAGAAAGCAGGGAGAAATACAATATTTGCCCATCAAAGGAAATTAAAGGAAACTTTTGACCAAGACACAGATAAGAGAGTTTCTGAACACGGCAGTTTCACCAATATGAGAAAGTAAGTTCACATATAAAGTATCAATCAAAGTAAAATATTATTTTTAAATTGTAGATCTTTTTAATGAAATTCATATTGTAGCCACATCTCCTGCATGTATCCAGAAAGTGCTTTTCACTCATCTGAAAGTCAATAGTACATGAAAGCTTTATATTGGCCTTCCACTCTACACACAATTGCATATATGAAACACTGACTATGTAATAAAATTTCACAAAAAATTCTTTTCTGGAAATTCTCGCAATCTTAAATACATAGAACTTAACAGATTTAATTGGAGGCTTATATAGGATCTAGCATCCAGCATCATATGTAATAGTTGTCAACCAGTATAGAAGCAAATTTAAAAGCAGAAGTGTAGAAGTTAAGTGTAAAAGTATTGCTTTTTCATTTTTGCTTCTTAGTACAGTAGTTGGTATTTTAATATAAGAGCCCTTGAGTGTGCAAGTAGTACATAAGCTAACTATCAAGAAGAGTACCTATTAATTAAGGTTATCTAATTCCAAATTCAATAATAACCTATAATTTGTTGAGATTGTTCCTTTAAGTCGAGAAGGATAATTAATTTTTCAAAAGTAGTTATGATGCTGATTCCTTTATATCCTTTCTCCAGAAAGGATTTAAGTTACAGTGGTGTCAGCCAATACACATAGTAAATTACTGGTAACTCAATCTTATCCTTACTAT